GGGGGGCTGGGGATTGTACTGGAGATTGAACCCAGAGGCGCTTTACTGCTCAACTACATCCCCAGCCCATTTTATTTTGAGACAGAGCCTTGCTAAGTTGCTGAAAGTGGGCTTGAATTTGTGATCCTCCTGCCTCAGCCTCCAGAGTCAATGGGGTTAGTGACATGCACCACCACATCCAGCTGAAGCCTGGGTCTTACTCACCTCCATATCCTGCACGGCACCAAGACTTACTGGAAAATCCAGGTGATTCCAGATCCACACTGGCTCCTTGTGTCCAGCTCAGTTCTGGGACATCTTTTTTGTAATAGAAACCCCCCAACCAGCCAGGCATGATGGTGCTCCATTGTAGTTCCCCTACTGGTGAAAGGGGAGGACTCCAATGCCCTCCTAGTCCCAGTTAAGGCAGTGACTCCGGAGGTTGAGGTGGGAGGACTGCAAATTTGAGGCCAGCCTCAGAGATCTAGCAAGACCCGAACAACTTAATGAGATTCTATCTCAAAATAAAAAATAAAAGGGGTGGAGGATGTGGCTCAGTGGTTAAGTGCCCCTTGGTTAAATTCCTAGTACAAAAAAAGAAAGGTAAACTATTGTAGTAAAATTCCTACAGGTAAAATAAAAAGGTAAAATTCCTAGTACAAAAAGAAAGGTAAAATTCAAGGTACAATGTTACCTGAAGCTTCTGCTGGCATCTGCCTCTGTTAGAGGTCTCTCATATTGTATCACAGTTTGTTTACCTGATTCCCCACCATAAAGGAAATCTCTGGGAACAGTGGGTTCTTATCTTTTCAGCTTTGTTATCTTTGGTGCCTAGAATAGTACCTGGGTCAGAGAAAACATGAGGCAACTGCTCTAGATCTCATGATCATCCCCAGATCCTCAAAAAACAGCCCCATCTACGAGAGCTACAGAAAGGGAAGGTACCCAGCCACGTGAGGGGTTAGAGAAGTAGAGGGGGTATGCAAAACACTTAAATAGAAGGGACAGTGAAGCTCAGTGCTATTCCTTATTGTCTATCAAGTCAGAGAAGATGTAGAATTGATACAGGAAGCCCGACAACCTACAGAAGGCAGACTGAGTTAGTGGAACTTCAGGGTACAGTTGCTGTCCATGGAAAAAGGAAGACAAATGATTAGCAGAGGCTGGCAGCAGAGACCCTCAAAGGCAGATAGACAACATATTCCTGGTTCCAGACAATAAACCCCCAACAAAGCATGCATGACCTTGATAGTATAAGGAAGCCAAGAGGAATAGGGTAGCTTGCTGGGATAGGATAAGAGTGGGAAAAGGCCAAGGAGGAGGCCAGTGTCTCGGTGGATAAGATCACAGCTCTGAGGCTGGAACACTGATTAAGAAACTAAGTCAAGAGTCCCAGTAGTGTGACCGGAACCACTTCCATAATGATTAAGGGAATGGTGTTTGCTGCAGACAGACTAGATCCCCCATCTGTGGGCAAACATCTGAGTGCAGCATTCCCCCTACTGGTAAGAGAGAGGAGTCCAGTGCCCTCCTAGCCCCAGTTAAAGCAGCTCTGTAACTGGGTGGGGCTGAGCTTGTGAGAAAAGAGGGGCTCACAGGCTGGGCCGTGTGAGCGAAATTTCTTGGCAGATTCCCAGGCTGAGTGTGTATCTAAGGCCAAAGGCTGAGCCATTGCCAGCCCCATCTGACCTCATGGATCCCCCTCGCCAACAAGCAGCAAGAGCAGCAGACTCCCGAGGCTCCCTCAGCTTGGAAGAGAGCTCTGCAAACAAAACTCAGTTTTTAGGGGTTAATCCACAGGCCCAGGAGGAGGCAGTGGGCCTCCTCGGAAGGGCAGAGCCAGCAAGTGGGCTAAGACTAAAGGAAAGGCACGAGACTGCCGGCCTGAGATTAGTTTGGCAGCAGCTCCAAAGAGCAGCCCTTCAATCGCCTTGATTGTCTGAGCCCTCAAAAGCTCTGGCTGCCTCCCACCAGCCTAGCTAATGGGACTGAGCAGCCTGGGCCACGACCTCTGTCTACTAGGCTGATGGTTTACTGCTCTGAATCTCACTTTCCCAGCAATGGAGGACCAAGAACTCTGCCTAGTTTAAGTGTACCATGTCTTGGTAATTTTGTTCAGCACCTACTATGTGCACAGAATCACACCTCCCCATTCCCTAACTCCTGCTAGTCTCACCAGCATGCTCAGACAGCCCTTTGACTGGTTACTGATTTGGGCTGGTATCTGTGCCTGGTGGGGGTACCCCAGAGTATATGTCCAGCAGGAGATTGGCAAGGGGCGGGGGGCATGGCCTGCTCTTTTCACAAAGCCTGGAGTCCTAAATCTGCTTTCTCCTGCCCTAGAGCACCAGAAGAATGGAATCTGCACGGAGTCGTACCTGGTAGATAAGGCACGAATTCGGCCAACCCCCTGGGAAGAAACTGAGAATGATATACGCTGTTTGCCAAAGAGCAGGGCTGGGCTCTGGTTTCTTAGGGTTCTGAATCTCTAGAAAGAGAAGGATCTCGGTTGCCAGGCGGCAGCACCTCCCACCTCTTCTACCCCAACCCTTCCCCCCCCTTCCTTCCTTGCATTTTTGGACCCCGGTGAGGACCCCAGTAAATCTCTGCAAGGCTTGCCGAGCCGGGAAAGCGGGATGTGGACACGGTCTGGCAGGCTGAGGCGGCCAGAGTGTGGGCGTGGAGGTGCTGGGAGCCAGCGGCCTCGGTTTGCTGCGGCTGTCCCTGCGGACCTCAGCGAGAGAGGGAGAGAGGCGCTGGGAAAACGAGGGAGATGGAGAGCGAGCGAGAAGAGAGCAAGCGGTTCCTCAGTCCCTCGCAAGCCAAGGCGGCTCCGCCCGTTCTCCTAACCGGGCCGTGGCACTGGCCGACTGTCGGGAAACCGCTCCCCCGGACCCCTCGGCCTGACACTCAGG